TAGTAACTCAGCCCTTAACCAAACATCTGTTTTTTTTTGTTTTTGTGTTCCTTCTTGGGGTAAAGCTCTAAAATATTTGGATATAGGAAATGTGTTATTCTTGCAGCCTTGATATTCAGGGTGGATCGTAAAATATAAATTTTTGTGAAATTTCAAAGATTAAAATTACTTTGATAACATTATTTACAGATTTAAAAAGATGTGGTCATCACAAGTCTGTTGAGGGGAAAAAACTACTGCATAAAATATCTAACTTGGAAAAAATATTTTGCATCATTAAAAAAATAGTAATAATAAAATAATAATAATTAACCTAGCTACCTGTGTACTCACAATATGAAATGAAGAGTAAGTAATAAGATATACAAATGCTACCAATGAAGAGGAGACAAAAAAAGAGTCATACTGAATAGTTTCTCTGGTGTGAGAAACTGAAAGTATAAATAAGAATCTTAATGTGTAATAGATAATTTGAAACAGGAAGAAAAGGTCCAAAGGGGAAAGAGAAGAGGGAGGTTTAGGGAAAAGGAAAGAAGGGAAAGGAATGAATATGAGAAAATGAAAAAATGGAAACAAAGTTTTTGTAAATAGGGAGGGGTGGAGGGGTTGAAGGGGAGGACAGGGGAATGGGGAAAAAAATAGGAACCAAGATATATCATGTAAAGGTACAAACTCCCAATGATGAATGTAAACATATTGCATACCTCAAATGTACCAATAAATTAATGAATAAAAACGTCCCACAAAATATAATTAACAACCAGTAAAAGCAAAGCAAATAAATTAAAAATATGGACACCAATTCCCACATGATTATCAGGCAAAATCAAAGCCAATGTTTCCTTGTGCAAACACAGTCTTTTTAACAATAGCAAGAGGGGCTCCAGTGGGTGGAAGTGTAAGGACTGCCCTGCAACTTCAGGGGCCCCTCTGGCTCACCTGGGCTGGTCTCTGTCTGCACTGCAGCCTGAAGAAAGAGGAAGAGGAGTCTGAAATGGTGCAAAGTGAAAGCAAGTTTATTTGTAGAAGAAAGTGGTACAGCGCCACCCCAGGGAGGAGTCTGGGAGCCAGGAGGCTGCTGGTGTTTGTCTTGATGTTCCAGGGCTGCTGCTTCAGGCTTGAGCCAAAGTGAGCAGCAGGAGAATTGCCATACAGCCTCCTTCTGCGAGTGGGACAGGAAAGGGCCGCTGGGGTCCAGTGGGCAGGTGGGGCTCCCGGAGCTCTCAGGGCAGCCTTGGACAACACAGCAGGAGGGCAGCTTTGCCTACTGCCTTGGGTGGGGC